AATTCTTATTGGTAAGAGTTTGTTGCGGAGGTTTTTGTGAAAGAAATTTGGAAAGTGATTGAGACCCCTCCAATCACCCCCCAACACACACACGTGGCGGATAGTGATTGGAGGAGAAGGAAAAGAGAAAAAAGAAAAAAAAAATTAGCCAATCAAAGAGAGAGGGAGTCAAAGGAGTGGGGTAAAAAAAGGGAGTCCGGATCATTTTTCATTTCTTTATAGGGATGTAACACTGTTAATTTCAAGAAACAAAAAATGCTTTGTCTGATGCACTGCGGGCTTTGGTTATATTAACGCACAGTGAATTAACAATTAATTAACTTTCAACCCTTGTAAATTTCTAAGATTTAAATGTGTTTGGAACGGTTCTTACCACGTTGGCATGTGTCGAATTCTTCATTAAAAGTTTCTATTAAATTTTTTTTTCCCTCTTCTTTCTTTCTTCTTTTGTATTGGAAATTTGCTAGGATGATAAATTTATTTTTTTGCGAAGCCGTTTATAACGAAACTAAGGCAAAATGTCCGACTTTAAGTCTTACTGTTACACTATGCAACTTTTCCTTTCCTATGCCACGCCAACCCACCATACCAACAAAAAAAGAAAAACAAAAAAAAGAAAAAAAGAAAAGGATTGGCATGTGGTAGGTTGGTAACACCATCTAACAGAAAAGGCGGTTTCAATTTGCAAACCTTTTACCATACCATAGATAGAAGACTTGTTCTTCCAGCAGACATTTTCAAGTCTTTAAACTAATGGGTTTAGCGCACATATACAAACACCGCCCAAATTTTCTATGATAACAGGGACAGAAAATACATGCTATTCTGTCCCAGAAGTCGTCATTTTAGGAAGCCGCATCTCCCCACATTTAACCTCAACTGCTTCATATCATCAGTACCAACACAGCTGGAAATTGAGCTTTTAGTGGCGTTTAAAAAACGCCGCCATAGGTATCAAAAACGCCTCTAATTATTTTTGTGACGTTTAATAGCAAACGCCGAAGATGCGGCCGTCGCTGTAACTTTATGACGCTTTAAAAGCGTCGCTATACCAATATAGGCGGCGTTTTTTAAAACGCTGCTAAATGTGCTTCATAATGATACAATGACGTCACTCCACATTTAGCGACGTTTTAAAAACGCCCTAATAGATCTTTTCTATTTTAAAAATATAACCGTTGGTATTCTATAGTGACGTTTAAAAACGCCGTTATAGCTTATTTTTTTATTAAAGAAAATTTTAAAAAAAATTGTGCTAGTTCTGTGAGATTTAACTAAAAAAAAACACCTTTTATAAAGATGAAAAATATATAATATATTGACTAAATTTAGGTAAGCATAATACTAGATCAATTCATGTTTCTCAATATGCAAAAATATTTCAATTCCGAGATGAAATAAAGTTAAACTAGTGCCTAGTGGTAAGTTAAAAATTATTACAAAACAAATCGGCACAAAATTCAAACTAATTATACATGCAAGTACTATGAAAGCATCCACTAAGAAACAAAAATTCTCGAGTTCTATAAGGAAGATGATGGTCCTCTGTTCACATCTCAGCATTGTTGACACATCTTGTGCTGTCACCTATTTAAATCATTGGACCAAAAGAGGGGATTCCCTCATCATTTATATTGCTAATATATTTAAATCATTGGACCAAAAGAGGGGATTCCCTCATCATTTATATTGCTAATATATTTAAATCATTGGTTTAGTTTTCCCAAGAGAAAGACACACAGCATGTGCCATTTTTATTGCCATAAAAATAAAATTATTGTTGGTTTTTGTACGTCATTGGTTTATTCATTCCTAAGGAGAGTTGTTGTTGTATTTCTTGTCTCCAACAATTGACTGAAAACAGAAAAGAAAATAACTAACCATGAGAAAACAGAAAAGGCAGATGTAAGCAATGCCCAACTCATCAATGCACCATCAACTGAACAGAAAAAAAACTCCCACCTTTTTAACATTCTATGGCAAAAATGTCAAAAAAAGAAAAAAGAAAAAAGAAAAAAGAAATGCCTCCCTTCTTCCTCAAAGAGTCTAAACCATCAAAATATATCCAGATTTGCCAAAGAATCAAGAGCTGTCAAGATGTTAACTTATGGTAAATGAATCTTATTCACATTAGCCAAACAAGGAAACAAGAGAAAGAATTTAAAAAAAAAAACGTCTTTCTATGCCTTTATTGTTGCTACTTGTTCATAACAATATTATATCCCACTAGAGGCCTTGTGAAATGAGTTGTTGATGACATAGCTGTGGAAGTTGAACATTTGGGAAGTATGAGATTAGGAATGAACAGGTTTGAGGGGAACTAAGTACATTTTGTTCCCCTTATTTGGAATTACCTACATTTTTCAAAATTGATAGAGACAGTAGAGAAAGTAGAGACTATTTGTGTGCTATGGGGTGGGGGGTCACAGTATATTGTTTAAGGTGCTTATGATCCCATGGCAAGAATATGTTTTAGAAATGTAGTATGTAGGTCTTGTATTTGAACTTCATTAGGTACCCCAAAGTACATCATTAGTAGTCATCAACTATGATAAAAACAAAAAAATAAAACAAAACTCGATAATTCTCTACTTAATGTCACTCAATGATTGTAGGGAGAGCCATCTGCGGAATAAATTAAACATTATTGGAGATCAAGTGGGAACAATTTGTAGATTATGCATTTCTGCCAAATTGGGGTCATTTGACCATGTCTAGACCAAAAATGTGAAACTAAAAGTACTTTTCTCCAAAAGAATATTCTCCATAATTTCAAAAGAACACCTACTATATGATTGCAATAATAATGATGATAAATTCACCCACCCTTGATTGAAGCATTGTAGAAATCTAGATGTGCAATAAAAATTGCGAAAGAAAACTGACATAGGAGTCATGCACAATATATTGATCTTGCCAAATAATACGGACATTACCTCCGCTTCTCCTGAAGTGTATTCTGGATCCAAATTTGAAAGGTGGACAAGTGCTCCTTGCTCATGTGCACTCTTCAATCTTTCCTCCCAAGGCTCAATAGTGACAGAAAGAAAAAAGAAAATGGAATAAATCACAACCACATGCTCACAATATAAAATAAACTAACAATAGAATAAATTGACTTTAATTCCTACAAGTTAGCGCAAGTACATAAATTTTTCTGTAGATGCTGGAGCTAACAAAAAAATTGTGATAAACAAAAACCAAAAAAAAAGAAGAAAAACCTAGAAATAAAAATAATGGGAAGCTTCTAGATAGGCCTACAATCTTAGAGGTTATGAACAATTATTAGATCAATTATCATGTTCTAATAAAAAAACCAAAATGCAGAAATCTTCAATGCACTAACTCTTCAATCCTTGGATCATTCAGTGCTGGTATGCTATAGAACTTTCCAAACTGACCACCTCCTGCCTTGGGAAGACTGGTCAGAATTCCTTTGAAAGCATTCTCAGATGCTGAACACATATAGTAAAAACAGAAAAAATGCATTCATATAGCCAATCACAAAGAAGGGAGGATGAAAATTAAAGTGACAAAAGCATATTGTGTGTGGAACAAACAATGGCCAAATGCATCTTCTGTACCTCTAGTTTTTTTCTTGACCGTTGCTACTCCCTTAGAAAAGTTTAGCCATACTTGAATAATCCAATGTATAATCCAGAAAAAAGAATCTCTTCTTGTAATATTCATATATCCAAAAAGTTCATTTATTCATTCATTCTTCAGCAGCAGCACTGGCGGCACTCAGATCCACAGTTAGATCAAGAGCCTGAAGCATGACACCCATCAACTATACTGGTTAGAGTCACTACAAGTGGAACTTCAGTTCTAATTAAGACTACTTAAAGTTTAGAATTGAACATGATTAATAATTTGAGCCAAAAATATGCATGATCAATTCTGGTGTAGATAATGTGTAACGATATGAAGCATAGAGTTATGTTTAACTAACATCAAAGTAATCATACATTAGGTGAATGTATACTGTTTTCTAAACGTTCTACATCAGCAACAATTCAACACTAGATGCTCATAGAAGTGTTATCGTGACAATGAAAGAACAAGCATGAAAGACTTTGCTGCCAACAAGATTAAAAAATGTTAAATCAACTATAAATACCTCTCCTTTTAAAAAAGTGACCATAAGCAAAACAAACCAAATGCCAACACTTGAACAGCTACATTGTAAATTGAATCAAACTATTTGTGAGTTTGGTCAAAGTTCACTTCAGATTATCTTGTTATGTAATTTTGAAATTCAATTTTCTAAATTTAGCTTGATAGCTTATACCAACTACAAATTGTCATTTCTTTATTAAAAATATTGGTATGTAACTTTCATTTCTTTATTAATTTTTTTATCTTAAGAGAGGAAATAATGACACTCATTTTTTTCATATTTTTTTTTTCTTCAGATATTATCAACTATCATTAGATAAGTTTCAAAATTTTATGTAGCATATATATCAATATACTAACCCCCTGCTTCAATTTATTTATTTATCTTGAGGCTGGTTGTGGAGCCAAGTCAACAGCCTATGTGGAATAAAAGCTGCAGATTTGATAAATTCATATACCGATTAATAACAAAAGAATTGATTTGAGACCAAGCCAGTATCCAGTGATATTCATCCTCCATCATCACCTTTTCACATGGAGACAAGTAAAAAGGTCTACAATAACATTATGTGCTCCAACAGCAAAGAGTATATATGTATGTATGAATTATGCATTTGAACAAACAATATATGTTATGTATTATGTATGTATTATGCATTTGAACAAAGGAGTTGTCACAATAAGAGCAGAACAAATCCAAATGCCTGAAGCATGCTTCATATCACCAAAAAAGTATCATCTCACCATGGATTTTGGTGAATTCTACTCATGGTATAATGTTGCTCCCAAGTCTCAACCAACCCCTCAAATGGGGCTGATGGCAGAAGCGACCATGAGTAGTTCATTCTAGCCATGAGATCTTAATATCATAGTCTGATTGTCCAAGACAAAATGCATATATATTCCACAATATTTCCAGTTAAAGAAACATTAATAGAGATCAATTAACAGAAACAGGCTTGGATAATGAAAAAGAATTTGTACAGATAGTGGAGTTTTGTCATATTTCCGAGCTCTGGGGGAATGGGCCCAGTCAGCTTGTTACCATGCAGATACCTACAACATCCGATATCGGAATTAGAAAGTTGACAATTAGATCACGGAGTAGAATATACATTTTAAGTATCAAGCCAATCACCGATGAGATTTTTCCTGAGAGTTGATTACCTTGCAAAGATCTAGCATGCAAAATAAAATTCAGAGCAATTTTTTAAGTAAATAAGTCATAAGAAATTAAATCACTGGACTTCTTTACACATACAATGTAGCGACTTGCAAGAACCCAATATTAAAAGGAATCTCTTCAGTCAGCTGATTGTAAGACAAGTCCCTACCAATCAAAAGTGATTAAACATTCTTGGACTAGACATAGTAGCGTTTATCCAGAATTTGTCGCAATTGCATTAGATGGTATACATGCAAGACCTGGAAGGCGGTGCAATTGCCTATGTTCTGAGGGATGCTACCAATCAAACTATTATTTCTTACATCACTGCATGTTGAAGCAAAATGGTAAAATATATCACAAAATGACCCAAGATACAGAAAACACAAGGAGCAATAAGAAATAGAATGAAGTGATCAACAACTTACAAGTACCACAACCTTGTCAACTGACACATGTCAGGAGAGAGAGTACCAACCAAATTGTTCCCTTGCAAACCTCTTTTAAGTTAAGAATAAAAACATACATAGGCACAAATTCGTAAGGATTCCGACTCACAATGTGAAAAACATATGAAATCATAAAAATGCCAATATGGAAAAGATAACTGAGAAAATGGAAGGAGAAGTATACTCACAGATATTGCAAAATTTCATTCCAGTATATAAGCCTAGGTATTTCCCCACTCAGTTTATTCTGTGCAAGGTCTCTAGAATAAATATATTGAAACATATGCATCTCAGTCATCATTCTAAAATTAGATAGAAATTAAATGAGAAGAGAATGGAGAAAGAGGACTTACACGAGTTTTAAATTTGGAATTTGGGACAAGGTTGAGGGAATTGGACCAATTAACTGATTGTTTTTCAAAATTCTGGGGAGACCCATTCCAAAGAAGGGAAGAAAAAAAATTATACAAGACAAAATTAGCGCAGTAAGGGACTAAACATGAACATGAGGTTGTCTAGAGACTTACAGGTGTTCTAGTTGTTTCAACTCTGAAACTAAAAACAGTATGTCCCCATATAACTCATTGAATGATAGGTCCCTAACAATAACATATTTCATATCAATTGGTGTATAGTAGATAAAATGGATATCACCAGAGAGTAATATAAAAGTCAGTGAGCGTGAGCTTCAAATGCTGCAGACTAGTGGCAAAACTGAATTATTGTCTCCAAAAATATAAAACACTTACAAGCTTTTCGAAAAGGAGCAGTCACCAATTTCATCGGGGATCTGTCCTGAGAGGTGATTTCCTCTCATATCACTATTCAAAAGACAGTGCAATTACAATCATTTCCAAAATAAAAACCCATTAAAGTTGATGTACTGTACAGAAAGAATTTAGTACAAATACAATGACAAATAGAGAAGAAAGAAGGGGGGATACAATACATAGAGAGCAGACTTTTAAGGTCGCCAATCGCAGGTGAGATTTCCCCATCAAGATTTAAACCTGAGAGATTGCTACAACGTTTGAATAACCAACCAAAAAGTCAACATTTTGAACACCATGAAGCCCAAAAGAGAAAACGCCAAGGACATCAAAACTGACAAGAATAATAGTATGTGATTTCATAACCATAGTTGAATTGAACCACTATGAAAGGAAGTAAAGTCTTGTAGACTTACAAAAAAGAAAAGAAAAAAAGAAAAAGAAATGTTAGGTAATGAAGTGTTAACAAAGGGAAGGGAAACACATACAGTGCAATGACATTGAAGGTAACATTGTCACGTGTTACCCCTCTCCACACACAGTAGTCTTGGCTATTGGATTTTGGTCAAAATTTCCTGAGAAAGAAGGTGTTGCAAGCTGATTACCATGAGACGCAACTTGCTCGCAGCTAAGGCAGAAGCCTCTTGTAATTCTGGATCCATTGCTTCATAACCTTGTATCAATCGAGTATACATAGTTGGAACCTACATATTACAAAAAGCATTACAACAATAACATTACGACAATCCTATGAAATCTGGAATTAACACATTATGGGCCATAAATGCTTCATAGTTTTTTTAAATAAAATATTACTTTGTCCTAAGTGTTCCCTTATGAGAAAAAACCAAACAGAAAAACCCTTAAAAACAGAGTCCCAAACTGGGCCATAGGTAGTGAGAAAATTGGCAAATATAAACAACAATCACTGAACCACACAGAACATAGAATTTTAATTCATGCCATAAAATACTCGACTTACTCCCGTAAACACAATTATAGCATCATCCGCCTTAGTCCCATCTTTCGGATATGATTCACGCCATCTCTGCCAGATTGCCCTCACACTAAATTTTGGAATGAACTCAACCTTCAATAAATAAAACCAATCCACAAGAATCAAAAGTGCTGTAACAGAATAGAACTTCAAATAAAAGGCAGGACTGTTTTAGCATAAACAAGCAACCTAAGTTTGAAATTGAAAACCAACTTTGTGAAACAACTATGAACATGAAATAGAATGGATTACCGTGGAACCCGTATAGCGAGGGGCAAGTAAAGCATTGAAAAGCCCATGAACATGTACAGAGGGTAAGTTAAGGATTAATCAAATGTGAAATTATTATATAAAAGTTTTTCCGAAACATAGATACAAATCAACTCCTCCTCCTCTCTCTCTCTCTCTCTCTCTCTCTCTCTCATCCGGACTTCAAGCAAATACTTAAATCTAGTTCAACGAAGCAGAGAGTGAAGAAAAGAAGAAATGGATGTGTTCAGACACAAATCAACTTGTAATTTCTTGCTTACAATTTCAATAACCAAATCGAGAAAGACGGGAAGGAAGAGCTTAAGAGAGACAGAGAGAGAGATCGATACCTCGCTGGTGCAGATGGCGTGGCGGTGCAGATGGTGGTGGCGATGGGGCTTCAAAATCGAAATCGAAATCGAAATTACAAAGTCAGATGAAATCGAATCAGAGAAATCGAGCCGGTGCAGACGGTGGAGCTTTGAAATGGAAATCGCTTTGAATCTCAAAGATGAATCTGTGAGAAAGATAGGGTTTAGAGATGAATCGAGAGAGAGAACTTCAATTAGGGCTACAGCGAGAGATGAATCGATCCGTTGAGACGGCTTAGAGAGAGAGAGAGAGAGAGAGAGAGAGAGAGCGCGAGAGAAAGAGTGAGTGAGTGAGTGAGTGAGATTAGGGCTACAAAATATGTATTACATTTTATATTCACCGCTCGCGCATTTAAGAGAGAGAGAGAGAGATAGGACATTCGAAGGCGTTTTCAAACGCCTTTGTTATTGAAACGGCGCCGTTTTGATTTTAAAAAAAGTGACGTTTAAAAAACGTCGTTAAATATTACGTTGCCAAAACTCATTTTTCTTGTAGTGCAAGTTAATCCCAACCGACAACAAAATTCTCGAGTTTTGGAGCATGAATATTCAAATATTGAAAGCCTGTGCAATCAAAAAGCTCCCCCTGGACAAGCGATGGGGTACTGAATGTAACATCACCAACTTTGACGGAACCAAATGCTATTTTCTCAAGACGAAGGAATTGGAGATTCCGAAAGCCTACAACAGGTTGCTTGAATATACAATTACGGAGCATCAATCGTGTCAATTCATAGCACTTCGAGAGAAAACAAGAAAGCTTATATGTAATAATATTCCAATTATCCACGGAGAGTTCCTTGATACCATTGCTTGACAGAAATAGTATCCATATATTTATATATAGTTCCCAGTTAAATTGCATGTCTGGAATGTGGAGAATAAACTTTCGAATGGGAATGAGACCTTTATGATGATTAGAGAGAATTTTGGCAACTTTGTTCACCCATTTAGTTGGATGGAGCCCAATCCATCAGCCGCGCTCTTCAAAGAGGAGTTTGTCAAGTATGACTTGTGAATGTTCATACCAATTACTTGTACTTGACAAGATGCTTGACAAGATGCCTGTTCTTGCTGCTTCTTCAAAAGAAAAGTAGTCTAGAATTTTGAGTTTCAACTCTACTGGCAAGGTACTGAACCTTGACTGAGCAGGTGGAGAACCATCAACAACCCATACCAATAGTTTATGCGCCTATTCAACAAAAAGGGACCCCAAGGGACCCCAAGTGCAGTCAATGGACAACAAACTTCATACAGACCTAGCTAGTGTTTGATAACTTAATTCAAAACTTAAAACTTAACATATTAAGTGAAAATTAAATAAATTCGTTTGATAACCACCATTAGTGTCACTTACAAAATCAAGCGACTCTTGAAATGTATGCTAAAAATTTAAGTAGTTGGAAACTTAATGATTGAATAAATTCTTGGAGCATCTCCAATCCTCTACTTTTTAGATATTTTGGAGAGTCTCACCCCATAAAACCAACTCCAGCAACTTCCCTAAAGAGGGCCCCTATTATAGGAAGTTGAACTGTCCCAGTTGCTCCTCAATTGTGGGGAGCTACTATAGAACCCCCAAATATATAAAATTGTTTTTTATTCAACTGCTCTTGGCCTCTACACGAAACGACTCTAATCACAAATAAACAAACAATCCTGTATTTTCCAACAGCTCTTTATCTTTTTGCTATTTTGTTTTTATGATTTGTATTCTCTCATATATACATACACAGGAATGGACCGAGGAGGTGGCTGCTGGCAGTGGCCACCCTTAAGTTTTGAAAAAGCTCCTTAAATATAGTGATCTTAGTAATCGATATTTATAAATTACACTGGCTCACCCCTCCAAGATTTTTTTGAGAAATTTAGTACCTGCCCCCTCAAGATTTCTTTAAGTCAATTTGCATTAGTTTCAATCTTTACTCTTCAACTTCAGATATTCTTCATTATTTCTACCTCTTATTTTTCTTGTTTGTTTTGGTTTTTTCCTTTATCGTTTTTGTTATTTCAATGCTCTCTTCAACTCATTTTCATCTCTATTTCAAAACTACTTCTACTTTCAGTTCTTCCTCTTCTTCTTATTTCTCTATTGTAGTTCTCTCTTTCTTCATCCTCTTCTTGGAGATCTTACATTCGATGGATTTTGTTCATCAACAAAGTTCTATCTATTCATCCTCTTGTCAATATAATGATTCGTCTTTTTTTTAATCATCCCAACTATATTGGCACCAAAATACATACCTAGGTTATGCAAACCATAGTTCTATCTATGTATATATCTAGATCTAACTGCAAATGAAATAAAACATAAACAATAATTCTACGTACCATTTTGTAGAAGACGGCGTCGCAAGTGCGAGAAAGAGAGAGAGCTCTTAGAGAAGAAAGAAGCAACACTTGAGAATCTTGATTCAGAGTTCCGAGAGAGTTGAGAGAACAAACAAAGAGCCGGGAAGGAGTCAGCAGCTGAGGAGAGTAAGGATGGAAAACGAATGAAATGAGAAAGAGCGATTTTCTAGGTTTTTTGTAAATGGGCTCTAAATTCTATTTAAACCCAAAATATATATGTATATATATATATATATATTTAAATCATCTCAATTTTTAAATATATTTTATTAAATTATTTAAGATTATAATTTATTTTTACTACATCCTTTTTTTTTCTCAAATTATATTTTTGAGATACACTTAAGTAAAACAAATTAAAAAAATCAAATTATTTTTGAAAAATCTTTCTTTTATTTACGTACATATAAGGAATATAAGTCAATGGCATTGGTGAAAAAGACAACGAATGAGAAGGAGAGGGTAAGCTTTGCGTTTGGACTTTTAGAATCGAATAAATTTACTTTGTTCGGCTTTAAAGTTCGAACAATAATGACAAAAAATAGATTGAATATTTACTTTTATATAAACAAATTCACAGAAATCAATAATTGTATTTTGATATTTATGTGAATACTTACCTCTTCTTTTATGGGTTGCTTCAAAAAACTATGTTGATTATTATTTTGATTCATTGTTTGATTTTGTTCAAATTTTTTTTTATTTGCAAGTAATAATATAATAAAAAATAATGATATCGATGATAATTATGAGTTTTGATAGGGTTGAATTGGAGTTTTTGAGTGAGAAAGAAGAAGAAGAAGAAAAAATAATTAAAAGTTAGAGAAGAAGATAAACATATTTGAATAAGAAGAATATGTATAATTGAAATTGATTATGGTGTACTATAAAAAAAAAATTTATTTTAAAATTTAATATATGTTGTCTTTATTAGTAAATATATAATAGAAATTAAAATGAGATAATTTTTTGGTTCAGATTAAACGCCTCGAGATTAAAGAGTCATTGGGCTCTCTAGCTAGCTCAATCTGTAACAGTGGTTGGTACTAGTAGTAGGGTTTATGGAATGGTCCTCACTGCGATTGGCCATGTGAACTCTAATAGCTGGCTTATGGGCGGGCTCAAACTATCACCGGGCAGTAGAGTAATGCTATCCTAAATTTTTTTTATCAAATCATTGCGTGATCTCCCACGAGAAGTTTGATAAAAAATCTGGTAAATTATTTAGAGTCTATAACATTTTCTTTTGGCAACATCATAATAAAAGTCATTTTATTAGCTTATTCATTTATTTAGATGTGTGGTAATTAAAAGACGTTACATTTGTTTTTTTTTTTTTTTTTTTTTGGCGAGTGGCACATAAAATGAGTAATTTTTTAAATTTTTTGTTATTTAAATTGCACTGACATAGTAGTGTATATTTATGACAAAGCCTTCCAGCTGAATATCATCTGGCAGGCAACATGAAACAAAAACTGAGGCATCAAGGGTCAAACTTTTGTGACTTGTCTATTGCCAATTTGTTAATCCCAATTAAATAAATAAATAAGTTATATTCTTATAATTTTTTTATAAAAGTTTTTTTATGTGAAATTAATATTTTATTTTAAAATGATAAGTCTTGATAGTATCCTTTTTATTTGTATATGGGAGAATTATAGATAAGTGGAGTGTAGAAAAATTATTTAGGAAAAAATGAAAAAAATTATGATTTTAATTATCAATATTTATAATGTTTATCATTTTTTCATAAATAATTTCTCTAATTCCTTCTGATTTGTAATCTCCCTTTTTATATCAGTACACATACCATCTTGCCAACAAGCTAATGGAGTGGAAATGTGATGCTTAATGCACTGGAAATGTAATGCTTACAAAAAAGAAAAGAAAAACAACTCTATTATGAATTTATGAAGTATATCCAACTCATTTTCTATATTGACACTCTCTTCCTACTAAGGCAGTGGTTTTTTAAAAGTAATCCTGAATAAACCCTATCTTTCCAAGGTTGTAGAACTTAAAAGCTTTGTTTCGATTTGAGGAGGTTACACAAAGAGAGGGGGGCTGGAAGCATATTGATAGATAGAGATACTAAATATGGAAAATTACACAAATCACCCATGTGGTATATTGAAAATACAGATAACACCCTTATATTTTTTAAAATTACACTAACATCCATTGTTTTAAGGCTCAGTTTGGTTAGGATAAAAATGGTAGAAAGTGAAAGAACTAGAAAAAAATAAAATTTTCCTAAGTTTGTTTAGTATGAAAGTGGTGGAAGTTTTAAGAAAATTAATTTTCTTGTACAACTTATAATAGTATGGTAACTAAACTTTCAGTTTCTTGCAAAATATACAAAAAAATACAAAAAAGTTTAAATTTATTGTAAAAGTAGTTACTTATAATTAGAGTTACTATTTTCTTACAAAACTTTCATCTTAATCAAATTCGTACGAGAAAATATATTTTCTTTTCTTTCACTTTACTTTCTACCATTTTCACTTTTCATAATTTACTTTTTTCTAAAACAGAGCCGGGTTTGGATTCTCTCTAATTAGTTATCTCAATTTGAGAGAGCGTTTGGATATTGGTTATTGGTAATCAGATATTGATAATTACATATTTGAATTACACTTGTATTATATTGAAATTATAATTGTCGTCCATTTTTGTAAATCAAATGTAATTCAAACATATATATAGTTATTGATATCCGATCATCTTAATTTTTTGCATGAACATTCTATTCAATGAGTTTTAAAAAGTAAACGGTTCGGATCACCAACATCAACTCCAAAATAGACTCCAAAATAGACTAATGGTGCAAGTGATCATGCAAGGTAGGCCAAGGTGAGATACGATGCTTGGCCTAGGTTTGAGATCTAGGCAAAAGTGGTTTCAGTGACCACACCTAGGGAAATGAGGTCTGGAAATCTGGGTTTCCCTCTTGATGAACATGAAGAACATGAAGGACATGAACATGAAGAACATGAATGCTAAAATCATAACTTATTTATTCAAAATCTGAGATTTTATGAGATGAGTTCGAAAACATGGACTTGGGTACTCATACTTGAAGATCTAATGAAAACAAACACAAAAACATGGATCTTGATACAAACTTTCAGATCAAAACATGGTTTTATTTCAAGAACACAAGAACATCATTTTCTCTTTCTAAAACAAGCTTTAAATCAATGCATGGCTTATGAATCATGCTAGATCATGCAATGTGATTGGATCAATATAAAGAACAACAAGAGTAGATCAAGAATCTAACCTCAAAACACGAATCTAACGGTTCAAGGTGTGAAGATCAAGCTTGGAAATCTAGTTCTCTCTCTAAGAACTTCTCTTCCTCTTCCTAGAGCTTCTCTCTCTAAAAATGCAAAGATATGACAAAATGATGTGGGTTTCTCTACTGCCAGCAGACTTAACCCTCTGCTGGGACACGTGGCAATGTCTGGTTGGATCTCCTCAAAAAGGTGCCAGAATGACATGACAAGAGTATAACAAAGTGTGTATAACAAGCAAGGTGGCATGGGTACTCAGACAAGGCAATGATCTCGGATTAGGACATAGGCTTTGGCAAGAAGGTTTCAATGATCTCGGTTATGAAGGATAACACTTGGCTTAGTTGTGCCACACATCGGCCTAGATGTGCCACACCGCGATCTAGGTCATACTAGTCCCAGGACAAGATCGCTAGGTGCAAGGATCAAAGATCTAGGATGCCTAGATGATAACATCTCGGCCTAGATGATACACATCTCAGCCTAGGTGATGCACACCTCGGCCTAGATGATGACATCTCAGCCAATATGCTAGGGTGAAGGTGGAGGTCAACCAAAGTGGTTCCAAGATGGTCCTAGGTGTTGGCGCTCAAAGGCCTAGGTGTAAAAGGCTCAAAGGTGTGACCTAGGTTTAACATGACCTAGGCTTGGCATGACCTAGGCTTAACATGACCTAGGCTTGGCATGACCTAGGCTTAAGACAGCAAGGAAGGAACAAAGCATGCATACAACACTTAGGCAAATCACATAAGCACAAAACAAGACAAGGACCTTTACTTAGGCAAAACAAGTCAAAGTTTACAAATCCAAACTTAACAAGACAAAATCATGCAAATGCACATGAGCATGATTAAAACATGAATGTGGGTTATTACACAAGTGGTCTAGTTCACACTTGGGTACCCCCTCCTTAATATAGCTTGTTAAGCCTTTTCCTAGCTGGCAGGAGGAAACATCCACTATGTTTGAGGAGTCATAATGGATTTTTAAAAATTCTACAAAAAGAGAAAAATTACAATACTTGAACCCAAAACATCTTTAATACTAAGGTATTTACATAAAAATTTACAAGGCAAAAAGACTATATTTGACTCTCCAAAAGTTGGCCTAAAGTTGTTGCTGGGTAGACAAGTCTTTGGCCTGTTGTGGCTTGCTATGGCTAGGCTGCTTCATGGCATGCCTTGGGCTTTGGCTTACATTTGCACCAACAACTTCTTGGGCATGTTTTTAGCTCTCCAAAGGGCACAAATGAGTGTGGCATCAAGGTGTTGACCCTTGGATGGGCGCACCTTGACACTATGCCACTCCAACCCATCATACCAACCAAAAAAAAAAAAAAAATGGGGGGAAAAAATAAAAATAAAATAAAGGATTGGAATGTGGTAGGTTGGTAACCCCATCCAACAAAAAAGGAGGTTTCAATTTGCAAATCTTTTACCATACCATAGAAGACTTGCTCTTCCAGTAAACATTTTTAAGTCTTTAAACTACACCTAAAAACCAGAGGAGAAAAAAGACATCTATTTATATCTTCCAAGAGAGGAGGTTTCAATTTTGTTTCAGCTAGTGCCCATCAAATATCTACGAACATTCTATGATCAGATACCAGAACTAGAAGAAACGGAAAAGCAAATATCTATGTCAACGCCATCACTATCTAGTATATTATTGCAGCTTTTGGTGACACTTGAGTAAACCGTGCCAACTCTTTTGAGATCTCAAACCCTTCTTGCACATCAACTGTTACACAGTGCTCAACAAACATTATTTCTAGCATTGGTGAGTGGGCTAGCAGAAGCTTGATGAACATAAAGGCTTCCAACCCCTGATCTGACTTATCTTCACAGATCGAAGTTTGTCCAGCATTTGATTTATACAATCTAG